GTCTACTTCCTTAGCATTAGGAGAGACAGGGACCTTAACATCAGGAAGGTCTGTTAGCGGGATCTATATCTCTCTCCATTTGTTTCAGTGGGAAAGGGGCAATTCTGAAGAGGTAATACTTCAGGGGTAATTTGCAGCACTATGTTATTCCTTGAGTACAAGTTACTTAATGCTTGTCTAAGGCACATGCTGCTGATCACTGAGCTGATGTGCTCTCATGAGTGGAACAGGAGAAAGCATCATAAAGCTGCACTGCTTGATGAAGTGCAGGTGCAGAACCAAAGTGACAGCGCTCACCAGCAGCATATACAAAGTGCTCTCTAGTAAAATTTACCATGCCATTTTCAGATAAACTGTGCATCCAGGACACATGATGGTGACAAGGTTGTCAACATCATCTCTGAATGTGAGAGGCGTGGTGTAGGCGTGGCTGCCACCGAGCAGCTTCTTTTTTAAAATCAGCCATATTTTTCTGAGTTGCAGGGCAAAAGGGGAGAAAATAGTTTATGAAGGGAATGAACATTCTGATCTTTCTGACAGCCCACCTTCTCAATTGGTGTGAAAATGCCAGCTGTTGCAGCAGTGACAATACACTTTTAGATTTCACTCTTTGCTTGAAAGATTCCTTAGGCAGAGAAAGGCTGTTACTGCGGGATGATGGGCAGGGGCTTCAGCTTTCTTTCCAGATTCTCTAATAGGGATGGGCAGCCGCTGTTTGAGCAGTCAGCCCTCATCATTTCACATGTGTATACTGGCTGCGGATAAGACTTAACGAGAGGCTATTTCTGAATCCAGAGAGGTCTTGACAAAGTGGACAGACACTTCAGCTCACTGGCTCTGATTCTTAGGTGTCTTCGCACAAATCTCTTCAAATGTCAGTCCATGCTCCCTACACCCATATTGTGTCAAATCACCCAATGTTGTAGGCTAAATCCATCTTTGCACTTGTGAGGTTAAAATTGAGTCTAAAATCAAGAGAATTATTGATTTTCACCAGAAAACCAGTTCTTTGCTATAATTTTTATTATAAACAAAATGTATAAGTCATAAACTATCCCATGGAAGTTCATAAAGTCGGGAGGTTGCATTTCTAGGAAGATGTGCAGCTCTGGCTGTGGCAGCCAAGCTTCACTTACACTGCGAGGTCAGGCCTGGCAAACAGCACTGATCACCTAATGGAAATCCAGGGCTATTAAACCTTTGGGAATTCATTAAGTTACTTTGCAAGTAAAAATTGTTGAGTGTGTGTTTGAGCAGGAATAGCAGTAATTTAATATGACAATGTGAATGTCATACATAAACCATCAGGTATGCTAGGACTTCATAAAAACCATTACCTCTGTGGTTTTTTTTTCCCCTTTAAGCTCATGAAAATTATGGTAAAAATACACAGCCGAAAGAAGCAGGCAGCGTTAGTGAATGGGTACAACTTGTCTATGACAGGTCTTTTTTCCTGCTTTTCTATCCTTCCTACTTTTTAGGGCAGTGTTTTAAGCAAGCTATTTACATTGGCTTTTATTCCTTCTAAGAAAAATATTTGATGTTCATCTTTTTGAAGTTGTGAAGGTTTTGCTAGAAAACCATGAGTTCAAAATGGGACATTTATTATAGCATTATGTATCCTTATTGAGGAAAATTGGATATAAATAAGTGTTAATGAGTATCCTGATTGTTCTATAAAGAACAATTTATTCACTTTCAATAAATGAGGAAAGCCGGGGAGAGAGGGATGATAAACTATGCCAGATGAGTATGTTGGACTTGGGAAATATCCTTGAAATACAGCTGTAATTCCTCCAAGACTCTCATAGTGATAATTTTGCTCCTAAGGGTAGAAGTCTATGATGATTAAGTTGTGTGCATAAGGTGTGTTTGTAGTCTTTTGGTGAAGCTCTATGTGAGATGCTACCCAAATGTGAAATTACTTGGATAAATGTAATACTCGGAATTTACTGAAGCTCAAAATTCTTTTCTTTTACTGTTGATCTGAAGGAGAACTTCATGTGTACATATATTCACACACACACACACACACACACACACACACACACACACACACACACACACACACACACCCTATTGCAGGACATTGCTTTTTGCATTCTGTGGCTCATCAGACTTGTGGTGGTGTAAGCAGTAACTCCTAATGGTCATGCAGCTGTGTTGTGAAGGCATCATACTCTGGGAACTGCGAGATCAGTCAGGTTATCAGTGTTCCTGAAGAAGACATTCAACTGGATGCTTATAACACAGGGTGTTTACAAACAGAACAAAAAATTAGAATGGAAGCAGATGAAAATAGCATTGAGGTTGCTTGGGATGAAAACTTGTGGTAAATAGGTATTGCGAGAAGGGAGCTCCCAGTACTCAGGAGGTGCAAGGGATTTATTTCTTGAGGTAAATTATAGCTTTCCACCATGTCTATTGAGAGTTCTCCCCATGGATGTCCTGTAAATTTTTTCAGTGGTCCTTGTTTGTATGCGATCCTGGGTTTTTATTACAAATTCTTTTCTGTTGTCTAACTTAGGTTCTCTTTTTTTCCTAGTGAAACCGTTATTTCTCTCTGGCATAATAACAAACCTACCAGAGAGCTTTTTGTGGTTTTGTTTCTCTGCTGACCTGAAATATTTGTTGTTTGTACCTAGGGCCTTTAAAGAATAAGCCTCATCAGAAACGAATAAGCAGTAAGAATGGTTGAAGCATTATTTTTCTTCTTCTTTTTTTTTGTTAATACACTTTGTTCCCACTCCTCTTCCCTACAATGAATATCTCACATTCATGACTATTTGTTTTGGTTTGTGTTCCATGGAGTTTAATTTGGACTGCCTGTAGGTTTGGAACTGTCCATTGGAGCATGGTGGACTCACCAGTGGATACAGAACAGGATACTGCACTTGCCTTTCTCCTAAACTATGTTGGTTGCCCATAGTTTAGATTAAGTGGTAGGGCCCATGAGCCTTTGTGCCATCCATGGCAGACTACTGGGCAGGCCCACACTGTGTAGGACATGGGCTAGTAGGTTCGGCACTGTGAGTGCATGATTGCCATAGCTGTGTTGTGTTCACCTGATAGTATTTCATGCCTCTTCTCCTTCTTCAGGTTCCTGCATTTTGTTTGCTCCATCCTTAATGTTTTCTGAGCCATAAGGATGGTATGGTCTAAATGCTTTGTGTAAGGCTGAGACCTTTTTGTTTTTGGTTGGGAAACTTTATACTATTGCTTCAATATTTTTGTTTGTTCTTAGTCTGTTTGAATTATTTTATTTCACTTGGGTTAATTTTGGTAGGGCATGTGAATCTAGAAATTCATGTTTCAGATGTTTTCCAGTTTAGTGGAATATAAGGTACCTCTGTCTGATTTTCTGATTTGTAGTGGTGTATGTTGTTATGTTCCTCTTGATCTTTAATTAATTTCACCTCTTTCTTTTGGTTAATTTAGCAAATGTTTTCTCAATCTTGTTTATTAAAGAACCAACTCTTCATTAATTCTTTGCATTTTTGTTTCTATTTCATTGATATTTGCTTTGAATTTAGGAATTTCTTACCATCTACTACTCTTGTTTTTGTTTATTCTTATTTTTCCAAGGATGTAAGGTTCATCACTAAATTGTTTATTTGAGATTTCACTATAAATTTCCTCTTAGGGCTGTTTTCATTGTGTCTCATAGAATAATAAGTTGTGTCTTCATTTTATTCAAATATTGACATTTTTGGCTCTCCATACTGATTTATTCAGTAGCCCTTTATGGCTTCTTTCTGTTTCTTTTCAATGTGACACAAGCTAGAGTCATCTGGGAAGAGGGAACCTCATTTGGAGAACTGCCTCCATCAGATTTTCCTGAAGCGAAACTGTGGATCATTTTATAGATCAATGATTGATTTGGGAATGCCCAGCCCACTGTGGGAAGTGCCACTCTTGGGTATGGTCCTGTGTTGTATAAGAAAGCAAAATGAGCAAGCCAATGATCAGTGTTCATCTATAGCTTCTGATGCAGTTCCTGCTTCCAGGACCTGCCTCTAGGCTCCTGCCCTGACTTCCCTTCATGATGGGCTGTAAGCTGTAAACATAAATAAACCCTTTCCACTCACATTGTTTTTGGTCATGATGTTCATCACAGTAATAGAGAGCTAATCAGGACATGTATTTATCATTCAATAATGTGATGTTTGTTCTTCATCAATTTGTGTGCTTTGTGAAGTTGTCTTGGTACTGATATATGGCTTTATTCCATCATGGTCAGATTGAATGCAGCATGTTATTTTAAATTTCCTGAATCCATTAAGACTTATTTTGTGTCCCAAAGTATGATCAATAGTGGAGAATGTCTGATGTGCTGGAGAGGAGAATGTCTATTCTTCAGTGCTGGAGTGGAATGTTCTATGGATGTCTGCTAGGTACAGTTTGTCTTGCCTGAGCTTGTGTGTGTCTTGTACATGCTGTCGCAGTTTCTGCGAGATCATGTGTACATCTGCCCCGTTGTATCTGAAAAATGCTGTTTCCTTAAACTCATCCACAAATCCTGAATCTTACAATATTTCTGCCCTGTCTTCCACACAGATATATGGGCCTCTAGGGAAGAGGTGTGATGTAGACATCCCATTTCAGGTTGACCATTCCAAAGTCTCTTATTCTGTGCATGTTGATCATATGTCGGCCCCTGTGTTAATTGGCATCTTTTGCAAGAAGCTTCTTTGATGAGGGATGAATGGTGCAATTATATATGGGTACAGCAAATATGTCAGTAGAAGCTATATTGTTACTATGCTCATTTAGCAGAATAATAGTAGTAGGTTTT